ATATATATATATATATATATATATATATATATATATATATATATATATATATATATATCATAGGTGTACAAGTGACGGTCGGCTGTGAAGGGAAAATGGTTAACTGTGTGAGTGCAAACTTACTAGTGGGTGGAACAAGTGGAGCAGATCAACAGCATCACTGGGAAGCAAAAGCAACGTGTGAAGCTACAAAGCCAACATTGAAACCTTCTCAATCTGTTAACTGCAGAATTGCTTTGGGTCGTTTGAGATTGTTGACTAGAATCTACACGGTTTAATAGACTGAATAGATGCGAAATGCTTAGACACGTAAACGTATGTTGTTGGCAGCTGGCAATACTACGTAAATTTGCTTGTCTCACGGTGTTTTCGAAAGACGATACTAGTAAAAACATGATGTCATTGTGTTAAACCGTCTACGCTGGTATGCCTTCTTTGGTCAAAGCGGACCAATGTGGCAAAGCCTTAATCCTCTGCTAAACTTCTCTCAGGTGTTGCAACACACGAATAAAAGGAACACCGTTCAGCTTGACTTAGTTTGCCCGTATTAATCTATGCACAAAGCGAGCTCGTTGCAGCTGCTTTGAACCACGTCACCTGCAAAGTAGGATTGAGGATGTCGAAATAATGGGACGAAAATATAGATTGGAGCGCATTGCAGACGCTGGATAACTCGGGTGAAATAACTAACAGTCAGAACTAGTAACCAAGACGAAAAGGGCTTTAAGAAAATGAAATTGCAAAGAGCTCTTTTTGGAAGAGAGGTTACAAAAAGATAGTTTTGTTTGGTATCTCCAGAGTAGCAGGTGTTAGAGTAGGAAGGACAAAGGGGTAAGGAATGACTACTGATTTCTATGGGTAGGCTGAACCGAATATCGCTACCTCCAAGCTACGACTCAGTGCTTGTCCACAAGGCAGCAGGATAAGTGAAGTATTGTGCATGGAACACATCTAAAGCAGTTTGTCCAACAATTGGTACAACAAAACTTTTGGGAGCCAATTCGGCTTGAAGAGCGGCTGTACAGTCGTGTGCGGAATCATTGGAAGATTACTGCGCACAGCCTTTGTATGCTTGAACAAATGCATGGCTTTCGATAGCGTAAGCTGTTTCCTTTGTGACCGCATGCAACCATATATCAAACAGCTGACTGTTATTAGACTGTGGTCCTCGCAGCATAGTCTCGGGTATTAGACGCTAACAAAGAAATATCAGAAAGATTGAGGCTGTTTAGCTGTCTTCATGATCTTGCCATTGGTACGAAAGTAATTAAAATACGTGATTCAATGGAGTCTGTCAGGTCCAGTGTCACACACAAGCTGTCTGAAAATCCACACTCTAGTCCCACTGGCTGAGTAATCCAAAATATGCGCTTTAAGTGGTGGTTAAAGTGAGGTCATCATGCAGAAAGTAAAATGATAATGTGGCCGGACAACAGGGTCTGGAATGGTCAAACCGTTTCATTTTCGAAGTCTAGCATATGCTGATTAACAAGTGCCGGAACTAAGTACCCAACTGGCGATGCAGAAGCGACTTCACTAGTGTATAAGGCGCTTATCCATCCAGTTTACCAGGTGGCTTGAAAAGACGCCGGAAGTTCTGTCAAGCCAAATGCTAAAAAACCAGACTACTGTGCTTAGTAGCACGAAACCTAGAGGAATGCAGAAAGACAGGGGGGTAATTTGTGGATAGGAAGGTTGAGAGGGTAACCAGAGCCCAGTGGTCATATGCAAACACTGAATACTGTATTATATAGCAAGTAGAAATGAATTCTGTACAACACTTCCGTTATAAAAATCACCAGCCGTGAATATCGTTACCGTTCTTATGTAACATTTAAAATACTTGACTCACGGTATTGCAAGACTCACAAATATGATATGTCATCGTAAGTGTGCAATCGTTCTCTGTATCGAATAGTGGTAAAAAATGAATCGAACAACGTTTTGGACTGCTGCTCAGATATTGCCTCCATCACATGTTCAGACAAGCCGTTGCAAATATTTACCACTCTCCATCTGAAGCACACTGGGTGGGGAACTCGCTTCACTTCCGGCACAACAAGTTTGCATCTGTGTCCGCGTTGGCTGCACGGCCATCGTAAGCGCAGCATTGGCAGCATTGGGGAAGTCACCGAGATGTAGAATACGGTAGCTCATAATGAGGTCGACTCGCACTCGACGGTGGGACAAGGTGTAGTTTCTCGTAGCGGTCTTCATGCCCCAAGCCACGTAAACTCGAGATGAGCCTAGTAGCAACGGGTTGGACCCATTCGATCTTTTGTGCCTCGCCTCGGGTAATCGGAGTGTAGGCGGGCGAACTGTACTCTAACATTGGTCTAATGATGGAAGCGAAGAGGCGAGTGGCAACTTTTTAATACCATGTGCCGAAGCTACGTTTGAGCGCCCAAAGCATGCGCAGTCCGTTACTTTATAGGCTGTTTATGCTGTCCACGGACTTCAAATCGTAGCTTGATAGTATACCTAGGTCCTTCACAGAGGGTGTGGTATATAGCGGTTGTTTGTCACGGCTGTAGGTTCAGCCGTCAGCACCCTTCTCGATGCTCATAACTATAGACTTGGCTGGGTTGACCGGGATGAACTTCTGCAGGCAATGTGGATAGGCGCTTGAGGTCTTGCTGAAGTGTGCCACAATGGTCGGGAGCGTCAATTTCTCTCCAAATCTTCCTGTTGTCTGTAAAAAGGCACACGGTGATGGGAAAAGCTGAGGTAGATCGTTGATATGGATCAGGAACAGAGAGGGCCCCAGCACAGTGCCTTGAGGCACGCCACTTGTGGAGGGATACCGGTCAGTTAGATAGTCGTCGACCTGTATCCTCCACTTTCCTTCAACAAGAAAGTCGCGGATCCACCGGTGCAGTAAGCCACCTGCACCGCATATCCTGAGTTTGTGAAAGAGAACCTCATGGATGACCTTGTCGAAAGCTTCACTGAAATCGATGAAGCTCATCTTGACAGAGTTCCCCTGGCTTATTGCCTTCAACCAATCATGCGTCGTCACAGGCAATTGGTAACGCATGAGAGACCTTGCATAAAATCCTGCTGCGCGGGCGTCAGGACCACTTTTGACTGTAGCAACTGTAATAATCACTTTTTTAAGATTTACTCAGCAAGCTATGCCAAAATATGTGTCAGACAAATTGGCCTGTAGTTGTCTAGTTTGCTAGGGTCGCCGCATTTCGGAATAGGCTTCACCACCGAACATTTCCAGTTAATCGGCAACGAACCTTCGGACAGCGACCTGGTGAAAAGGTCAGTCACGACAAGAGAGATGATGGCTGAAAGTGGCTTCAGAATCAGTGGGTGAAACTCATCAGGTCCGGCAGGTTTGGTGCCGTCAATGCTGGCGAGTAATTGAGTTACCTCTTTAATCCTGCAATCCAGACTGTCGAGTTCGGTAAAAGCGGTACAAGTCGAACGCGAAACAGACACCTGGTTATTCGCAAATACAGAAGCGAAGTGCGCCGTCAACACGGACGCACGTGCAGTGCTGGAGGTTAGCGGCTGTCCGTCGGGGCCATCCAGCACTGGCACAGCACCTGCTGGCTTCAGGCGTCGCTTCACGTAAGCAAAGATTCTTTCTGGTGCGGTCTCCGTGGTGATGGCAAGCTGCTCTTCGAAATGTCGGCGCTTATTCTTTTTTGCACTGTTGCAGAGATTCCGCTGACTTTTATACCCTTCGTAGTCATTGGCAGAGTCAGATAGGAGGAATTTGTCCCACAGTCTGCGCTGCGTCAGAGCGAGATTTCCACACTACTTGTCAAACCAAGGAGGCTTAATCGAGCCAACGTTCCGACATTTCAAGGGCACACAATGGGAATGCAATGATGTCAACCTCACTTTTATAAATGTCCGACAATCTACCACAGAGGCAGCTTGTGACAGAAACCAATCCAGTTGGCGCGCGGCTCGAGCTAGACCGTCAAAGTTCGTTTTCCAGCAGTTGTAAACTGGTTCCAGCGGACATGAATACGGCAAAGGCAATTTCATATCAGCTGCGAGCACTGAGTGGTCGCTTGTAGCCAGGGGCTCCATGATCCGAACGTCACGCACTTGTTGTTCGTAGCTCGTTAACATCAGGTCCAGACGGGATAGGGTTGAACGTGGTGTTATGCGTGCTGGCTGGCAAATGTGTTGCGATGCACCAGTTTCAAATAGCAAATCCACGAACATTGCTTCAACCTCACCATGTACAGGCATCAAATGCATATCAGGCCATCGTATTCGAGGACAGTTGAAATCGCCCATAAGTAGAAAGTGTGGACGACTCATGTGAGTTCGAAGATGGGGCAGCCAATCCAAACAACGACTCAAGAGGCTGCGATAGGCTGCGCCCACAAGTGGACGGAGCACCACAGTAGCTCACACAGACCAACGTCACTTCGGTAGGTGTTCACTAGTCTCCCACGCAGGGAAGACCGGATGTAGAGCAGGACACCATCGCGGGCATTCCCTAGTCTGTCGCATCGGAGGCATGAGTAAATATTAAGTTCAAGTTCCTGGGTGAATAACTCTGAGTGCAGCAATGTCTCCGAGTCCCACTACGTCTGGCCGCTCAGACGCAACAAAACAACGAAGCTCATCGCGCTTATTCATAACATTAAACGTTTGTGAAAGCTACTCGCAAGCCGCAGCAGCAGCTGCTGGGCGTACATGAAGTGTGAGCAACCTGTTTATCCTAATTCGCAGGTTCTTGGAAACCACCCGAAAATTTGACATCTAGATTTGTTTCACACCTACCAGTAGGTCTTTCCGGCTCAAAGTTGGCAGACTTGAGCCGTTCCCGGTCTAGTGGGTCCAGATCAGGACGAACCTGGATCTTCAAACGTTTCAGCCTACTTAGGTGGGACATGATCAGTCTTGGACTGGCTTCGTCCACAAGAGTGATTCTCGCAGGCCGATTTTGTTGATCACCTTGCTTTCCAAGATGGGTAATTTGGCTCACAGATAAATTTCACTAACCAAAGAAAATATTGACTCACCCCAAAGAGCCATGATCACACCGAAGAGAACAGTGCCCTCGTTGTCAACCAAATTCGTCAGCTTATTGCGGAAACATGAAGCGTTCAATCGCCAAAATTTGCAATTTTGTAGGCGACAGGGTGGGCACATGAGTACATCTTTACCCCATTCACACACGTCTTTGCTGAAACGGAGCAAAGAGAAGCAGCAGATTCATTGCGCAAATTAGTGTGAAACCGGTTGTGTCGTGCAAGGCTGCAAACAGGCGACACATCGCATTAACACTACAGAAGTCGTGTGCTTGATAATTCTCGTTGAACAAATGAGTAAATCTAGCGAACCAAAGTAAACAACAATGAGCAGTGCAAGGTTGAGAACATCGCACCGTTTGCGTTCAGACAAATCTTTTACTTGGGAGGATAATTAAATATTCCTTTGAAGAATGCTGCGGTCCCAAAAACCTATGTTTCACCACAGTTACGCCGTTGAATCACTCTGTTGTATTTAAGCCTGCTTACCGCGATGTTTGGCACTACACCAAGATGCGTGGAGCGTAGTTTAGGAAGGCACAAGGGTTCTTAGTGTTCAGATTGGACGAACAGTAAAGCGAGGAATCAAGTAGGAAATGCTGTTTCTTCACAAAAGCATGCAGGTCGGTTGTAGTAGACGTGTACTGAACTAACAGTTGCTTCCATCAAAACAGGACTAAAGTGACTTCAGAATGTACACCGTAGTGAATTTTGTGGTGTGCCGGTTTTGCTTTTGGCAAGTACCCGAGCAGATGAATGACTCTTAGCACACATGTTTTGCGCAGACGAGTATCCAAATTTACACTGCACAAATGAGCAGGACAACATACATGTTAGAACCTGACGGATGATAATGGACGCCACAGACACCGTTCTGACTTGAGCATGATGACATGGCTGCGTGTGCCCGACCAGACAGGGCGTGAAGTGCGTCAGTTTCTTCAAAGGTTCAGCAGCACAAAATCTATGCTTACTAAAGAACTAAGCCGACCGATGAATTGTGACGACGGAAATTGTCCAGCAGCAGTAATAATTAGAACTGTGTGAACAGTAATTTTCCATAAATCCTGGGTAGGTTACATACAGTACTCTCAGGTATTTCACTGTCAGTACGCTCGGGTGCAACTAGCCATTGTGAGCCCTTTGCCTAGAATAAATCAGTGACAAGTTGGTCTTAGAAACCTACACTGAGTCAGCATGCAGAATATACAGGACACAAAATTTGTTAGACCCAAAATGCCTACCTGCAACCAATTCAGTAACTTGAGTTATTAGGCATCGGGCTTCGTGTTAGCGTTTGTTCTCAAAACCAGTGTTAACAAGTAATATCGAATCGATGTATGTGACCACAGTCGGGAAGCCAGTGTGTCAACAAATGACTTAACATTACATCAAGCAGTGGCTGCAGAATTAGGTGCTGTGTCATGTCAGAAGCAGCCGTGAAGTGTCATGGAAAACACCTTAATCACTCTATATTTCCCAGTTCAGGTGAATTGTGCACAATCACATCAATGCTGTTTACGTCGGCAGCCAAGTTCACGGAGAGCACAGGGATATAAAAAAGATCACATGCAGCTATCCGTGCTAAGTAGTTTCTTAGTCTATGGCTTGTAATTATGAAAGGGATGTATCGCACCTAAAAGTAGCTAAGTTAGATAAGACTTCGCCACGAGCGATAATGTCAGTACTCATTTTTGCTGAAATGCCCAAAAACGATTGCCACCATGCTAGGTACTTCAAGTTGGGGCGCATGTGGCGTTAAAGATAGGAAAAGTTAGTGCTTCTGCCTATCGCTTGCAGAATAGGCTTCTATCGCAAAAGCATATACCGAGTTTTCCTTCTCTCCATGTTAGAATATAAATCACGTTGTTTTAGGGTGTCTGAACAAAAGCACCATGAGTGTAAATTGGCAGAATTGTTGACGATCGCGCAGAAAACGTGGCTGGGCCCTAAGGTGGTGCGATAGTTCTTGCATTTATCCGACCCATTATTAAGAACTGGTCCTAACAAGTTGGTCAATGGTTATAGGTTAGACGAACTCAGTCGCCTGACTATCCAAAATGGAATTGGAAACGGGATGGCGTCTATATCTGTAGAGCCGAATCTTTGCCAAATCCGCTGCTTTTCGGACAGGTTGTTGAGCCAAATGCTTTGGACGAGTAACTTGAGCGTTCTCCTGTTTAGGTCTGGACGCCCGGGCAGTTTCTCAACCCACATACAACCAGGACTATTTCGGCAAACCTCAAGCACATCTGGAGTGCAACTTTTCAAAGGTTGGCTTATCTACTGCATACAGCAGGACGGATAAGGGAAACATGGTTCTACTGGCATCTCCGTATTTTCTTTTCTACATGTTTTGATTACTCGTGTCCAACACGCATTACAACCCTTCCTCCCATAACACTCAGCTTATTTGGTAGCTTCTTCAATACCCCTGGAGTCATCATTTGCGGCTACATTCCCGCACTACCCACTAGAAGATATCGGCAACAGGTCCCCATAAGGTCACGCCATCCCGTTTCCTCGACTGCATTCAATGTTCATGCCTTGATGGGCGTGTCTCGTACTGACCAGAATAAACGTTTATTTATCATTTTATTTGAGACAAAGGGATCCATAGGTTTAACTCGTAAGTACCTTGGATTCACTGGGTATAGACGTGTGTTGTGTATCCGAAACTAGAATCACTGACCACCACGAGGTTGTTGAATTAACTGCACTCGGCTTGTTCTCTCGCTAGTGGTTGCACGCATCCGGAGATGCTAGTGCGGCAACCACTGGTCAGGCAGTGGCAGGCGTTGTTCTTAGCATCGTTGGTTGACTGGATTCCCGGCAGCAGCCGTTTGTGTGCAGTCCGTTTGACCACATCAACTAAGGTTGATTCACGAAGTACTCCTATACGTTGTTTATTTGTGGCTTCCGCTTCTGCCCGACCGACTGCAGCTTTGATTCTGCCAAGGCAATCTTCTACCACGAACTGAAAACGCTATTACGCTGTGTTACCAGTTCAGATATCCTACTTCCTGCACGTGATATGAATGCGCAAGTAGATCGCCTGCGCAAAGCAAGGCGGTAAGTACGGACTCAGCTTCGACCGGTCGGACCCAAATAAAGCACGATGCCATAGGTTACAGGTGGCGTAGTCCCATCCTGTATTGTCGCTGTTTCTGGGATACTTGTGTCAACTTTACTCATGTCTTGGTACACTATGGTTTCTCCATGAAATTTACCCGGAGGTGTACCGAGAGCCTCCCTCGAGTGGCAACTGAGAAGTGATCTCAGCCCTCGCTTAGGCAAGCCTACCAGGATGCCCTTTGTACTGAGCCTTAATGCAATAGGAGCTCGGTAGACAAGCACGACGCGACAGCCTATGTTTAGAGCATAAGCTATCGTCACGTAAAAAGTTAGTGGATATCCGCGAGGTCGAGGAAAGTGATAGAATCCAGAAGAAAACTCCCGGCTAGATCTGAGCACAATGTAGCCAGACAGACCATTTAATGTGAACTACAACAGAGCCTGCGTGCTGACAACTAAGTCTAATGGACCAGTCTGCCTCAAGAAAGGGGGGGAGCAGGAGTAGTAAGCAATTATCGCAAGCCATTCAAACTGATCCCCATAGCTCGGTAAGCGGAGCAATTCCGACTGCAGTTCAGTTGATTCCTTACACTATGAACTCTTCCTATCTAGTTGGTGCAATTTTAGCCATAGACGGTTAGTTTAGAGGATTTGATGAAGCTGAGGTCCGAACCACCATCACTGCCCTTAACCGCTTTCGAGCTACCGGCCTGGAATCAATCACACCCGCACAATTTAAGGATAATCGTGAGGTCATCTAAAAAGTGTTGGCCATGCTGTTCGCACAAAAAACACTTCCACCTGCCTCTAAGCACAATGTAACCAGAGTGACTATCAGGCGCGAAATAAAACAGTCTGCACGCTGACAAGGAAGCTTGATGGACCAATGTGGTTCAAAAAACAGAGGAAGCAAGAGCAGTAGATAATTTTCGCAAGCTCTTCCAACCGTGAAGCACCAGTGGTCCCAAAAAACCAGTGAAACCAGTGAAACAAATAGAGACAGCGTGGATGATATAATTCACGAAAAGCAGCGCTGCATGGCTCGTTAGGCGGAGCATCTTCGAGATCAGTTCAGTTGGCCCCCTGCTCCTGGACCTGTTATTACTCACGTGGTGCAGACTGAGCCATGGAGGAAGAGGCAGAGGTCCAAAACGCAAACACTGCCCTTAATTATTTTCGAGCTGTTAGGGCCGGAGTCCGTCACACTCGCGCTTTTGAGGATAGTGGTGACGTCTTCTGCAAAGCACTGACATTCCTAATTTCGGAATGTATTAAAACACAGATCGCTTGTTTAAAGGCTTGTATTACGGCTGCGTGTCTCCCTGGACACAAGAGCTTCATCAGGCCAGGTCAGGTAGCCGTAATACAAGCCTTTAAACAACCGATCTGTTTTAAAACATTAAGAAATAATGAATCCCCAAGCAGTTCCAAGCTTATACAGACACTGAACTTCCTGTTCGCACAGGTCTGGAAGGAAGAGCTTATGCCAGCAAACTGGAGTGAATCGAGTATAGTGGCGATATACAGGAATGACAGTCTCACTGACTGTGTTAAATACTAACGCCATTGGTGAAAAATCAATAGCGTCAGTTCTTGCACGTCTCACCACTGCGGAATGGAAATCCCGGATTGGGGAAGAACAAACAGGTTTCCGCTCAGAACCGGGCAGTATAGAGCACATATTCCCTTTGCGGCAGGTACTAGAGCAGCGCCACAAGTTCCGCAGGCCGACAATGATTGGGTTCCTAAAGATAAAATGGGCATTCAACTCAGTTGATCAATCTATTCCGTTCAAGATACTTGTGCGGAAAGGTGTTCGCATGAAATAAGTGAACATTTTACGCGTCAATATTTGAATTTCACAGGCGGCGTTAGTGTCTGCGGTGAATATACGTATACCTTCCCGACATCAAGTGGTATACGTCAGGGTTGTCAAATTTTTTCATCTTCGTTCAATTGCATAGTGAAATGGATCATGGAGTGTTCCCCTGGCGGCCGCACGACGCAGGCGTTGTGGTGCCGACAAATGAAAAGCTAATTGATTTTGCGTAAGTTATTGTTTTGCTGTATAATGATGTTGGGGTGGCACAGTCAACCCCGAATAACCTACCTAGAGTGGCTCCATCATTTGGCATGCGCTTTGACCTGGGAAGTGGAAAATGCTTTTGCAGGACCACCAACCAATTGCTAACCCATTTACTTTTGATAGCGAGGAACAAGAACGTAGATAATCAATCCAACTACCTTGACCGCGGCATCAGCAACAATGGGCGCATAACTGCTGAAGTCAGTTCACATATTCCAAATGCTAGAGCTAAGTTATTGAATCTGCTACATCTGTTTCGCTGTGTGAAAGGCCATGTTTGCAAGGCCGCAATGAGGGCTATCCTACTCTATGGGAGTGAGACTTGGGCCCTACGGTCTGAAGACCTGCGGTCTCCTCAAACCCTTGATCGTCGCTGTCTGCGAAGCATTGCTGGGGTTGGATGGCACCAGGGTGTCCACAATGATGATATGCATAGACGAGTACCAAGTTGTGATAAGCAGATTAGTTCTTTAAAACAACATATAGGACTGAGTAGGTTGCGTTGGCTTGGATATCTACTACGTACGCCTGATCATTGCTTACTGAGGAGGGGCTTATATTGTCTTCCAGATATAAGATGGCGCAAGGCCCGAGGTGGGCAAACTTTAATTTGGCAGCGAGAAAAATTGCCGACCAAAATCATGGGTGGCTTTGATCCGCCTTGCCTCCCATCATGGAGTCTACATGACCCGCCAAGTGCTTGGCTTGAGACTTTACAGGACATGGCCGGCCGTCGGCATAAGTGGCACATCTGCTGTCGTCTCGTAAGGGGGCCTGCCTGTTTAAGGTGTGTTTGAACCTGAATTATCCGCGGGGTACCGGCTGATTATGAAGCGGGGCCGTGAAAGCCGCAAGGAAGCTGTCCCCCCGATGCCGCCTTAATCTTGCATGATAGCCAGATATTTGTGACAAATTGTTGTTGACACAAGGTCTAGGCGCCTTGACCGTGAATACTTGTTTCTGGCATCAACGTTTTACGCTAGGTCCTCCCTCTCTCCTTCGTATTATTCTTTGTTCCGTAGGTGGTTATGGTTGTATAGCAGTGAAGCATCAGTTCAAATGGCCGATGTACAGCTGTTGTGGCGGAGGCAATTGGGTGTTTGCAGCCACAGAGCTGAACAAAAACTACCAGTATGCCAAGTGCTGGTCATTATTGCTTCATTTCACATTAGGACCACAAAATGTTAGTGCAAAATTCCTTGAAACGTAGAAACAACAAAAGTAGGAACTAGTGCCATGCAGCTGATTGTTTGAAAGGATAAACGGACACACGGGTTAACGGTAGAGTGCTAGCCCCCATGTTTCTGGCTAACAAGAGACACACGACAGACGCTACAGTCCTGATTCCGACTGAGGTTTTCGCTGCAATTGGCTGACATACAAAACGTTGCACTCACGTGATGGCGTCTGAATTCATACGAATGAGGCCAAGTAGGAAAACCAGAACTCCAAGAAGTGCCACCGGAGTGAGGCAAGCGGTGTAGAAGCCCAGCCAGGCAAAATAGAAAGCGATTGCCTCCCCAAAGTAATATCTGTGCGGTAGGAGAACACATATGGTTAATGATAATATGTGATGATAGGAATAGTGAATGTTTGGGTTGACGATTAATAAGCATATTCTGGCGAGTCAGTCACATTTGAAGATGCAATCACAAGCACTTGTTGGTGGTGTCGCGCGTAATGAACGTGTTGCTTCCGAACAGCAAAGCCATGCAACCAACATCACGGATGAAGATAATGTGCTTCGTCTATCTGACGAGAGGCAGCAAGAAAAGGTGAAACCGGGACCCTTAGCCACAAAAACCAAATAGCGGTTATCATATTGGTCACAGCTGTCAGAGATCATAGAAGATCCCTGGTAGGAGATTTTTAAAATACGACAAATGAGAACAAGCAAATGACAGATTTGAACAGCTCGAATGAATTGGAACACTTCAATTGTGCAGTTCAGAGTTGTTGTGGAGCAACTCGAACTTCGCAGTCTTAATTAAATTGTAACTAAAACTGAAACATAAGAATAAGCTTTCACAAAAAGCGTGAAGTGTATCGGAGACTAACGGAGTCTTAAGGTTGGCTTAAAATTGTAGAACGTGGAGTGAAATAGTGAGTTACTCTAAACTAAACCCATTATATCAAGTACTGGGAAGTGTATTTGCAGTATAGATGTACGTTTAGTATTGCTTGTACCTGAGAAAACGGTAAAAATCCGGCTGCTTTTGCTTGATAGCTTCCTCATGTGAAGCGAAGCTAGCAGAGAAATGTATCCTAGCTCTGAAAATATCGCTTGTGACTTCGGTCAAGAACCTCCGGTAGGTCAATCCGAAGTTCGATCACGGATCTGTTTGCGCATATGGTTTGTAAGATCATCACCTTAAATACGATACGTGAGATGAGGGTACCGAAAATATCAGACTCTTATACATCCGTTCATGCAAGGCATAACGCACCGAATTTCCAAGTGTATAAAAACTAGCCCAAGAAAGATAGATACCGAAGCGATGTGAGCGGTTTGTGCTGTATTTACGCAGCGAACGACAGTGGGCCTCTGTTACACTGTGATTCACTGAGCAGACCCCAAGCATGATACACGTACTTGGGGAGTCCTAATCGACGATGAATGCAGGAGTATGACAACGCAAGTGTTACAAAGCTAATTTGTGGTCACGAAGAAAACGACTGAATGGTGCAGTGCGATAAAGAAGTAAAACTAAAGTGGCCGTAATCAAAAGCTTTGGATCAAAAGAATGGCTTGAAGCAAATAATAGGAACTTTGAAGTCAGTTAACTGACCGCCGCTGTTCGACTAGACGAATGCCTACAGAATGACAACAGCTGAAATGCCCAGTTTTGAGTTCGGCTGTAACATTTTCTCCTGCATGAAGCGAGAAAACGCTATGGTTAAATGAACAGGAAACACTCTCAAGTGAATAGGTACGAATAGAATGCATTGCGTGTGAGTGAACAATGTGCTCTCCATCGATGTACCCCAAAGATGTGATGCGGTGAAGGTGTTCCGCTCAGAGGAAAGTGTTTGCGTCACTTCAGTTGTACGATTGCGGACGAAGCGTTAAAGCAAAGTGAATGCATCTGCTTCAGCTGTTACAGGCTCAGTTTCCGAAGTGACCCAGTTCACTTTGAAGTAAATCGCGCTCCGCGTTGAGATTGGACGTCGCAAACCAGTCATACGACGATTGCATCAAAACGACCGTACTACTCAGCCAGTAACCGTTATGACAAGGGCTGACCGTCCCGACAAGGTGGCTTATGTCTAGAAGCTTCGCTGACATACTAAAGGTCACAGGCACGAGTCGAAGTCTTGATATTTCAGTCTAATAGGTGCACAATGGTAAAAAATCAGGTGTGAACTACAAGGTTGATAAAAAGCAACATCTGAACTTCGTTATGAATGCACTTGCTTGGCTCAGCTCAAAACTAATCAAAGCGAAAAACGGTTAAAATAAGAGGAAAATACAAACGAAAAAGTAAGTGAATAGACGAGTTGCAGAGTTGTTCCCTCCCAACACTGCATTCCACAACCGATCGGTTTCGTCTTCATTCGGACTCTTCAGTGCGTCAAGCGCTAATGGAGCTCTGAGGCCCAGTGACCAAGGCGTCAACCACAATGTGTCGTCCTCCTCTCTCAGGCCAAGCTATCTCGACTGACGAGTTCAATTCAGGAAAAAAACCGGTCGATCGTGGAGTGCAGTGTTGGGAGAGAACAGCTTCGCAACTATCCAAATCGCGAAGTTTGGGATTTGGCTACCTACCTAAATACCAAGTGTTTTTATTTCTCCCCATTGTGAGATATGCTAACGCAGTTTGGTGTTTTACTGAGACAAAGATGACTTTAGGTAAGTACGGCTTACGGTGGAATTTATTTCTGACATCAGAAATCCGCGGAATGTATAATGGAGTGCAACCCTGAGTTGGTTTTACCGTGATGTGGCCTAAAGGGCGACATCAAGAAACTGAGTTGCCAAGATTACAGCTTTTGACCTTCCGGTGTCCGAGTACAATAGTAAGTAAACTGAGTTGTTAAGAAGTGACGGAGCCCACGGATGGTGAGTGAAAACAAGATAGCTTAAAACAATTCTAATTTGCTTGCAGTAGAAATTATATATCCTGCTGATACGGAGAGGGTTAGAGACAGTTGCTAGTTGCATTAGTATTTACATATATACAGATGTGACAAAACAAACACTTTTGTCTATCGACAGACTTTCTCTCTCTCTCTCTCTCTCTCTATATATATATATATATATATATATATATATATATATATATATATATATATATATATATATAATACAATTGCGTGAACATTCTGTTCGATAAATTTCATCAGGCATTTACAATTATGGAGCAAAATTAGAACACCGACTGTCTAATGTAAGCTAGATCTAAATTAGAAAGAATCACGAAATCCGCACAATCTATTGGCATGGCATAACTGGCCATCGACCAATCAGTCGAAGAACGCCGATCGGACAAACACACACGGTAGGTGAGGGTAGACAGAACAACGGTGACAAATGCTGGTCACCTGTCATGTTTGAGATGAGGAACTCTCACCAGAGTGCGTTCATGGCCACGGTAGAATTAAGGCTTGCACCAGCGTGCGTTGTTTGCACGGTTCTGGTTTCAAACCCCTGATTGCAATGGCCACAGCTGTTGTTAACAAGCGTTTCTTAAGTCCTTTAGAGTATCGGTACGGGCTAGGATATATGACTTTGAATGAGTCATTTGCCTGAGTCTGGTGTCCTGTGTCAACCAAATGCTCACGTATCGGACTGTTGATGTAACTTACGGTGCCTTTTCGTAGCGAAGCCGGGCAGTGATCAGCGATCGTTTTGGACAGGCACCTGGTCGTATGTCTGAGGTACCTTGCACCACAGGTGCAAGTGAATTGATAAAGGATAAAAGACTGGGACCGGACCAGGTGTGTATCCTTCAGGCGCTGAGGAATCAGCACTCTAGTTTTGGCAAACAATTTAAGGTTGGCTGCTGTGAATGTCTGAGCCATTGTGGTCAACAGTTTTCGCCTCAACAACACAAAAGTAATATCCGCTTTAAAAGGAAGTGTAAGGAAGATGTTCTTTTTCGGTAATGTAGTAAGTGGCTGATGAGATTTATCGAAACGAATGTTCTTCGCGTAATGTGATCTAATTTCATGCGAATTTTTCACGAAATATATATATATATATATATATATATATATATATATGTGCAACGAGGGTGCCCCATGCTGAGGCTGATGTTACATTCTTGATCCCTCTTCACCGCAGTTGGGCTAAACTAATTACGCTTAAACTAGGCCTTTTTAAGCTGGATAAATGTCATTCCACTTTATTTGGTTTGTTCTGCCCACCTGAATGGCTGGCGGCATCCGGTTTCGGATTTGCCTGTCACTGTGGCAAGCCACAGGACGCCTGCGCCTACAGAGGGACCATGGTGGCTTGCGCTGCACCACCCACAGCTCCATTCACACACACCCCATATCCAGTGTAAACCCGAAGGAATAAGACCGGGAGGCATGCGGATGGGAGCCACGTTTCATCAACGGAGCCGGCCCACACTCCTTCACAGGCAAACACAAGCACAATGTATTTGGGGAATCAAGCGCACACAAGGCGGTGGCTGGACCGTAGTCCGCTCCACACTGAGTGCATGGAACCACTCTTCGAGCCTAACACGGCCACAAGGACCGTGCACCCCGTCCCCTCCAGCAACGACCAACTGTCTCCTGGAGCCAGTATGGACGAGGTAGTGGGTAATAGACAGGTAGGCACCTTGTCAACATTCACATCAAGCGCAGCCACACCGGGGATATCAAACAGCAGCCAATCACTTGAGAGAGAGGGAGAGGGAGAGAAAGAGAGACAAAGAAATTAGCTCGATTAATGCATAAGGAAACGGTGACATAAACCTTAAGTTAATGAGCATATGAAATAAGTTGTTTACAAACGAATCCTAGATAAGTGCACGAGGTCAGGAAGTATACTTTACGGAATGCCACGAACACAAAAATGCTATGGAAATCGAATACAATTGGCTTAAGCGAGGTGTGCAAGTTAATGGAATAGAGTACAGGTAGACATTTATATGAGTAAGAAAAGCATTTAGGCAAAATTGAAAACCCACCACCTGAAATAAAGAGACTTAGCATGCAAGCACGCGGTTAGTAAATCGAATGCAGCGTACCTACAAACGCTGCGCCGGTGCTGCCTACGTTCTCTGCAGAACCCGTCGTCGCTTCGGTAGTAGTCCCGAGTGGCCTCGCTCATGGCTCACTAAGCCTGCCTGACTAAGGCACTCGCGACCACATGTTCTACAGCACCATGCGCTTGATGTCGATGGAGAACAGCCCATCGGTGCTTGCCGCTTCCGCACTTGCCGCTTCTTCTCTGCATGCATGAGGGCTTTCTCCTGCACCTCAGCAACTGCCTTCGTGATCAGATCGCGCCATGCACGCCGATCAACCGCCTTCGATTCCCATGATCTGCAATCAAGATTAGAACGTGTGAGGCTCACTT